ATTGCCCTCATATACGACAACGTGTTTGGTTCCTTCTCTTACCGCGATCTCCCGAAGATAGTCGACGCCTGGCCCAAACTCACCGTCTTCCGCATTGAAGACACCCGCTCTTACCTCCTCCAGGACGGTGGCGTGCACACGGCGCCGCGCATCGCAGACCTCGCTCGGTTCGCCAAGAACCACCCCGACCTGCGGTACCTTGTCATCCCAATGCTCAATCATCACTTGTTGCCCCCGCCGCGCAAGTTCCCCAAGTTGGATCACAAGCTGGAGATTCTCCGCATCTGCACGCTCAAGAAGGATGCTGCATACGAATCACTGTTCGATATGGCGCTCCTGTTGGACAGGCTGTTCCCGAACCTTGATCTTTGTGAGGCTCGGCGTGATTGGACTCCTGCGAAGGATCAGAGTTGGGTCAAGGTCGAGCGGGCCCTTCTGGCTCTGCAGAGCGGACGGGAAGGCGCACACCGAAGCTAACCGACATGCGGTCAGCCACTGAAGTGTTCCGGGAGGAGAGCAAGTTGTGCGAGGACGGTGCCTCTACGATATCAATGCCATTCTACAGTATAACGTATGTCTATATATTCCTACCATACCGTCGAGCAGGCTCAACAGGGCCGTACGTGATACTAGTTAGCTTTTTACATTACACTGATAATCCGATATGGTGTAGTGGCTAACATTATCGCCTCTCACGCGATAGCCCGGGGTTCGATTCCCTGTGTCGGAATACTTTTATATCACGTCGTCATACACAATTTTGTTCAACGAGAGAAGGAAGTCCAGATGATTCATGAAGCCCAGCCAGAACCCGCACGTTCCAGGTATGTCCGTATGTGTCTGTATCTGTCTATTCTGTCTGTATCTGTCCCGGTTCTGTCCAATTCGATCTGTGGTTGTCCATTGCCTAAAAAAGTTCAATCAGCGCCCGATTGATGTAGCCTCCATATAACGTCCTCCGTAATTTGGCCAGAGTGGCTGCGTGATATATATATATTGTATGTTCCAATGTTACGAAGAGACTTGCGTCGTTGTATAGGCGCCTACATACATCTCTGATTATACCTACACTCTTTTGCACCGTTTCTACTCTGACATCATAGCTGTCAACGAGCGACACACTCAAAAGCAAGCTCTCCGGACAAAGTCCCCTCTGCCCGATGTCTCTTCTCGCCACCATTTTTGCTCCGGATCCTCTCACTCTGCCGACATCGCGTACCGTCAAACAGGCTGGGGGCGGGGCGAGATACACAGGTAGGTGCAGGTTGGGCGCCGTGGAGGAAAGGTGCTTTAAGTAGGTGAGTCGACAAGACCACAGGTAAGCGCATATAGCCGCATATAGCCGCATCATAGGTGAGTCGTTCTTCCTCATGCAGGCAGCAGACAAGCAGACATCTAGGTAGGTGGTCGGACACAGAGGCCGTGCAGGTAAGGCGGCGATTGTGACGACCCCGTGCGCAAATCGCTAAGCCAAGTGTAGATCGTGTTGTGGGCGGTCGGGGAGTGGCTAAACGAGCAGGCGCGTCGAAGGATGGCCTGGTGTGCAGCAAGCGCGATGGGCACAGTGGGCAGGTGGATAGCTAGGTGCGTGGACGCGAAGGCGGGCGGACGGGCGAGAGGGCGGGCGAGAGGGCGAGCAGGCGGACGGGCAGGTGCGCGCGCGCGGGGGCGAGCAGGCGGGCGGGCGGATGCGACCGGAATAGCGTCCGGTAGCTCTCGGATCGTCTCAATATGTATGTAGCAGAGCGAGTATCTGAATGTATCCATCTGTTTCTGAACAGACCTGGATACACACGGAGCGTTATGGACATCTGTGGATAGAAAATAATCGTTCTATAGGACAAGTTTCGTTCTGACTGTGTCCAGGTATGTCCGCAGATTGGGACACATCCGGATCGATACAGATATTTACAGATCGACCTGGAACGTGCGGTTCTGGCTGGGCATGAAGGCGAGTACCGAGTAGTGGCGATGTTGACTTTGCATAGGCCGAAAGGGGACAGCTAGGGACAGCTTTGATCCATGGTGCGATCTTTTACAGCACCTTGCATTCGTTCACCATCTGGCTGTTAGTGACAGCGACACAGTATTCTACCACCACCGACAACCAGTCTGAACATACTCATTGCACACGTGCACAACTCGTCTCCCGCACCCTCACTCACGGAGTAGTGCACACGCGATGTTGCCCTTCCAGGCCGAAGGGCTAGTCTCGTTCGGGACCATGTCCATCCTCACCCTCCTCGCCCTCAACATCCCTGGGGTACTCGCAAACCCAGCATCCGCTGCCCTCGCTCTCGCCCGCATCTATGCCATCATCTGGACACACAAGGCGCGGCTCTGCTCTTGGCTCATCTCGCATCCGGGACCTCTGGTCCGCTGGACCACCTTCGTTGCTGCTCCTAGTCTCTGGCATGTCGTCTGGGGCGAAGTGCTGCCGGGTACGCTCCTGGTGGTTCTCTGGCTAGGGGCGGAAATCGCGTCTCCGCTCTTGCGTCGCAGTGCAGCGTGTGTTCTTGCTCTGGGGGAGCTCAGCGACGTCGCGTGGATCGCTATATGCGCGATGCTCACGCTGGTGGGGTTCCTAGCTCTGGCGACGGTCATCTTGTCCTTCCTCCTGACTAAGATACTTGCTCTTTTCTGGGCTTGTGTCTACGGGCCGCTGCAAAGTTGCTTCTCCTGTCTGCGATCGGCGTGTTCGCGCGTTCACCATCTGGGCAAGGCTGCGGCATCGACCTGTGCGTCGCGGGTCAAGTCTGCTGTCCTTGGTTGCATCACAACGGCGTATCTTCAACTGTGCCTTCAGGTATCGCGTCTCTGTTTCCTGAGTTGCTCGCTAGCTGCAATGATTGCATGTGCGTATAAGACCGCCGTCAACATCGTCACTCACCAGGCGTTAAGACTCGCCAAGGCCACCTGGATCACTGTCTTTCGGCTCTGGTCACAATTCGTTGCCCTGCATGATCGCATTCTTCTGTGCGCCTTTGCGAAACTGGATTACGCCAGCCTGCAAGCCCGTCGACTCTCGCGCCGGACCCTAAGAAAGGCTACACAACTTGGCGCCTTCCTCATTCGAGAGCCCGGCCTTGTCAGCTGCGCTGTTGTGCCCACCTTGCATATTCTAGAGGATGTTACCAACGGAGTCGAGGTCCTAGCACTGATGCCGTTCCTATCTCTGTCGTATGGCGACGTGTCAGCGCTACCAGTTGCCTTCCATTCATATACAGCGTGGGGCAAGGGCATCCCGACATCCGACAGCATCATGAAGCCGAGCGACAGCCTTCAGGATGCAGGACAAGACTCGGATGCCACCCTGATGAGCATCGACACATTCGAGGGCGCGACGTACTGTGGAAGCGAAGAGACGTGCTCAGAGTCCTCATCACTCGAGTCCGAAGTCTCTGAGCTGCTGGGCGGGACACCAAGCAGCTCAACAGTCCCCTCGGGTCGCGCCCCCCGCGCTCACATTCCGCGGTCCATGTCCTCGGACTCTGTCTTCGCACACTTCGCTCGCCCACGCTTCGCCCGGCTCGTGTATATGCCCAAGGCAGACGAAAGCCTCTTCCAAACGAGACCGTCGCTCCCTTTTTCAACGCCTGGAGCTGTTCAAGTGCCCATTAGACCTGCCATGCCTTCCCCGCGTCCAGGAGACTTAAGTTATCAGAACAACGCTGACACCATGTTCAAGACCCAGCCCGGCGAGCAGCAACAACGCGACCTGGACTTGGGCTTGGATCTGGATCTAGACCTGCCACCGTACAAGCGAACGCGACGGGCAGGTAAGAAGGTGACGGCGCGTCGGCGCCGTCAGCAAGAGATGGTCGCGCGGGCCGCGACGGAGGCGATGATGCAGGCTGTCGCTGCCGCCGCTGCGAACGCCGCGGCGGAGTTCGCTGGGCGGGATGGGAGGACCCCGAAGGTGTTTGTGCAGTTGGCGGGTGGGATGCCCGCGGCGGACGAGACGGCGTTCTGACGTCGGCAATGTGCGAGCAGGCTGCACGAGCAAAGGAGTGAATAGCGGGCTGAGGTTTCTGAGGGTTTGTTGTCGTATTTGCCGCTGACTAGTTGTGAAAGCTTGTGGGGACGAGCTGTAGAGATAGTTTGTGCACAACACTAACACTTACCTGCATTCGTTTTGTTCATACCGGCAAGAGATGGAATTGAGTAGAGTAACATCCGATAGCATATAGAATATGAAGCTGTATGATACAGAGTGGTGATCAGCGAACCCAGTTTGAACATGACTGATACAGTCAGCCTTCGTGCAGGAGTCCGGGATGATGCCAGTATTATGCATACCTTCAACCCTGAGATGTTAGTATCGAGCGTTCGCCGAAGACGGGGTCGGGGAAGCACATACCGACATCTATCCAGCAAGTAAGACGGGGAACCCCAGCCTGAGGTGGGCGTGTGGGGGAGAGACTATGACTGCTTAGAGCGTCCCTTGAGTACAGCTTGAGCTGCTTCAGCCAACGATATCTCGTTTTGCTCGTCCTACATGAACGAAAGGCATCAAGTGAGACGGGCACGGTTCCGCTGCACACGAGGAGCGCACGAGCACCCCGGCCGCTTCACGCACCTCCTTCACGTTTGGTACCTGCACCTCGCCCAGCGCCTCCTGTCTCGCGAGAGCCTGCGTTCACCGGTGTCAGCTCTACCTTCCGTACATCGTCCGTGGTTATGTCAACCGACCTCTGCGGCACAAAGTTCTGGGTTAGGCAAGGAACGGGGCATGCAGTGAGCTGCTACGCACCTCTGCCTGCTCGGAGCGTCTCGCGGTGCACGACGCCCATCATCACGAGCCCCCACACGCTCACGCCGAGCAAGGACCATACGAGGCCGCGGTGGAGGATGTCGCTGATAGCGAGTCGTGGTCGGGCGGACATGGTGGACGTCACTATGAACGGTAGACCTCTAGAAACTGAAGACGAGAGTCTGACTTCGCGGGATTTGTTCGAAGCACTACGCGATATGGCTACTGCAAAGCAGGCGCTCTACATGGCGAGATGGCCGAGCGGTCTAAGGCGCCAGACTAAGGTGGTCACTTCGCAGTGTCACGCAATCTGGTCCTCACGGGCGTGGGTTCGAATCCCACTCTCGTCATTCAATGTTTTTGGTTTGTTCCCAAGTGAGCAGTGAGCACCAAGTCAGATGTTACGTCGAGCTGCAATTGCGCGTCTGTAATCACTGGATTACGGTTGCCCTCTATGCACCACGTTACGGGGGCTATACACCGCCTGTACCATGTGAGACTACACATGAGTCATTTGCGTATCTGCTACCATTTGTTCGCGCCATTCCGCCTCAACGTCGCCCCATTTGGACGCTTGCGGGGGCCCACCGGGCGCCACTCTGTATACATGTACAAACAAGGCCGCGCAGCCTCTTATCATGCGGGGTAGCGCTTGAACACCCCCACCTCCCGACGACGACGACGACGACGATGACCCGCCTCCTCTACGTGACCCTGCTCGCCGTCTCGTTGGCGTCAGCGACGCCCCTTTCTACTTACCATGAGCCCTCACGTCAGCGTGCGGGCTTCACGCTGGCGCCCCTCGTCGCTGAGGATCACCCGCACGGGACCGTCAACAACTCCTACATCGTCATGCTCAAGGATGGTATCGAGCCTGCGCTCATGCAGAACCACCTGAACTTCCTCCAGACCGTCCATGCGCAGGACTCGTTCTCGGAGATGTACGAGGGCCTCACCCATGTCTACGACGCGCACGTGAAGGGTTACGCTGGCAAGTTCAGCGAGGCCACGATCGAGCAGCTCAGGATGATGCCTGAGGTCGAGTATGTGGAGAAGGACCAGATCGTCCGCACGCTCGAGGTCGAGCGGATAGAGGTCGAGAAGCATGCCACGCAGAAGAAGGCGCCTTGGGTGAGTTTTTAGATATTCCGTGTTCTGGACCGAACAGGGCGCGCAATACTGCCGAAGCATGGTGTTGTATTCGGGAGACCGTAGTCGCTGTCATCCGCGGAGACGGGGAGCGCGACTGTTGCGGTACCTGCGAGTCGTCGGATCACACGACTCATCTCCGTCGGCTGATCCGGCCGCACGGCACTGTTCTCCCTGTATTCGCTTGCGTCCTCGATCGTTAGAGTTGTTGCTAATGTACATGTACCTTGCCCACAGGGTTTGGCTCGTATCAGCCACCGCGAGAAGCTCACCTTCGGCACCTTCACCAAGTACGAGTACGACACACAAGGCGGTGAGGGTGTTGATGTATACGTCATCGACACCGGTATCAACGTGAACCATGTTGAGTTCGAGGGTCGTGCATCGTGGGGCAAGACCATCCCTAACGATGAGGATGTGGACGGGAACGGCCACGGTACCCACTGCGCGGGCACGATTGCCTCGCGCGAGTATGGTGTTGCCAAGGCTGCGCACGTCATTGCCGTCAAGGTCCTCGGCAGCAACGGTAGTGGCACGATGAGCGACGTCGTCGGTGGTGTCGTTTGGGCCGCCCAGCAGGCGCAAGCTAAAGCTCAGGCCGCGCTTGAGGAGTTCAAGAAGACTGGAAAGACCTCCCACAAGGGCTCTGTTGCGAACATGTCGCTCGGTGGTGGCAAGTCGAAGGCGCTCGATGACGTTGTCAACAAGGCCGTTGACGCTGGCATGCACTTCGCTGTCGCTGCTGGTAACGACAACCGTGACGCATGCAACAACTCCCCTGCCGCTGCTGAGAAGGCTATTACCGTTGGTGCATCCACCCTCGGTGACGAGCGCGCGTACTTTTCCAATCACGGTCCCTGCGTCGATGTCTTTGCGCCTGGTATGTTGACTGTCTACAACCCGTACGACTTGGTGCTAATCTTGTAACAGGCTTGAACATCCTTTCGACGTACATCGGCAGCAACACCTCGTACACCACCATGTCTGGTACTTCTATGGCGTCCCCTCACACCGCCGGTCTCTTGGCGTACCTCCTGTCGCTCTACCCCTCTGCCACTTTCAACCCCAACGTCTTGCCCGATCTCGTCCCCGCTATGATGGAAACTCAGGCGGTTTCCCCCTCGTCCTTGTCGAACGTGTACGCGCTCGCATGGTCGGTGATGCCCTCGTGGGCCTCTCGCTTCCTGCCGCCCCCAGCTCTAGTTCAGGAGGTCGTTGCTCCCGTTCCCGGCGCGCCGAAGACGCTCACTCCCAAGCAACTCAAGCTTGCGCTCCTCGCCCTTGCTACTCCGAACGTGTTCGAGGACCTCCCCACCGGCACGCCCAACCTCCTCATTTTCAACAACGCGACGACTGCATGAGAGCTATGTCACGTTAGGAGGGTCTGACGATTGTCGTCACGTCGTCTGTTGTTTTGTCGCTCTCGTTCGCTTGTAATCTTCCCTTGTCACATAACCACACCCCTTTGCATGATCGCGCACGTCGCGTTGTACAGTAGTCGTTATGGATGTTGGATGGATACGACTGGTTCATTAGATGTGTCCTCGTGTGCTATCGTTTGAGAAGCGCCTTAAAAACGACGGTGAGTAGCGGATGGCCGACTTTGCTGCGGCACTTGAAGAAGTATCAAATACACCAACTATCAGCATGTTTGAGCTGAGTCTCTAGCATGTACGGTGCGTGCTCATGCGCACTAGCCGGTCCATACCACCTTTGTCCTTTTCATACGGTTGCGGCACCGTGTTACTACCACACGATCATTCAATTTGCGCGTTGACGGTCCTATACTGTGTGTCTAGGGTTGCTTTATGTGGTACGGGACATAGATATGTGGATACATCTTATCGACATTCACTGACATATGTCCGAAAGCTCACCATGTCCGTCTACCCAGGCCTGCAGAGACGGTCCATCTGAGCCATCCCTGGCGGCCTCTGCCTCAGTGCCCGCACACCGAGGCTACTATAGCCTATACCGCCACGTTCACCGCGATATCCACGAGGACCATGCCGACATCGCCCGCGACGATGTGCGCCTCGCGCACCAGCTCGCCCGCGAGCTGCGCCGACCGCACCACCTTCTCCTCGCGCTCGCGCTGGCGGCGCTTCGTCACCCGCTTCCCCGCCCTGCGCGTCCGCTTCTTCTCCTTCTCCTTCTCCTGCACCTCCGCCTGCGCTTCCGCGAGCGCCTCGAGCTGCGCACACGCCTCCTCGAGCGACCCGGGGCTCGGGAGCGGATATCGATGTCGCGCGGCGGCGGCGGCGACGGCGAGCACAGCAGCCTTCGCGCGCTTCATACGGAGGAGGTGGATGTTCCTCGTCGTCACCTGGACCACGCAGCGGACGCCGTTCCCTGGGCCGGGGGTGCTCTCGAGGACGAGGGTGTGCATCATGCGGATGAGCCGCCCGTTCCCGACGAGCGCGACTCGGTGCCCGGTTCGGTTGTGCAGTACGAGTCTTCGGGCGTCGTCGTCGCTGTCGTCGTTGCTGTCTTCGTCGTCCGACGACGACGATGGCGAGGACGACGGCGAGGACGCTGGGGGGTGCCGCTCGATGGCACCTGTATCGCCGCTCGGAGGGAGTATGGGCAGAGTGTCAGGCCCTGTCTCGTGCGTACTACGGGCTCCTGCAACATGCGCGGGGATGGGCGCGAAGACCGGACGAAGCTCAGTGAGTGGGTCCGCGAGCGGGGTCGTACGGAGCGTGGGTGGGTAGACGGCGAGCGCGGCGTGCGGGACCTCGTACAGGATGAGCTCCTCTTCGTCCGACTCCTCGTCTGCACTCTCGTATGCGACTAGATCGGCTTTTCGAGGGTACAACACCACGTCTTCAGGCTCATGGTCAACCTCAGCGCTGCTCGGTCTGTCGACCAAGCCGACATCCTGAGTGGGCGCAACAGGCTGCAAGGACGCATGAGGGGTAGGTTCGAGCTGCTGCGCTGCATCGTCGACAATGCCGCTGAAAACAAGGCCGATGCGCTCCTCGTCCTCGTCCTCCTCGTCCTCGTCTCCATCATCCGTTTCTTCGTTGAACTCGAGCTCAGAGCCGTCCCCAGAGCTGCACCCAAATCCATCCTCATCCGTCCACTCCGACGTCCACCCGTCCTCCTCATCCGAGTTGCCCGGATCGTCCGAGTCGTCAGAACCAGACTCCCACCCGTCCGCCCACCCAAACTCCTCCACCTCCCTCCCCCACTCCTCCGCCTCCTCCAGCGTCCGCCCAGCCCTCGCCCAGCACTCCCTCGCGCCCTCTAACCAGCGTTCGACGACGGCGTGGTCAAGAGCGCGGCGCGCGTACGCGAGCCCGTCGAACGTCGTCGCGAGCGGCGCGTCCCAGCCCCAGCTGCACGTCCACCGCGTCCCGAGGCCGAGCATGTTCAGGAAGAACTCGGCCCTGCCCGTCTCGCGCGGGTCGCACTTCCGCGCCCGGAACGCGTGGATGCGCGCGCCGATGACGCGCAGCCCGAGGGTTCCGTGCATGTCATCGGAGGTCCCTTGTTGTGAGTGGACGCGAGAGGGAATCGCGTGCTGAACGAAGAACTTGACTTCAGAACAGGATGGAGGGACCCATTCGATGAGGAGCTCGGCGTAGTGCACGACGCGTCCTGCCGGCTTCATGAACGCGTCTATCCGCTGGAACAGGCCCGTTTCGGCACCATCGGGGTATGCCTGACCTGGGAGGTGGATGATCGGGTGAACGCGCCATGCGAACATGCCGTAGGAGCGGGCAAGGTATTGGCCAAGAAGGCTCGTGTCCTCCGCGTGCAGGTTCATAGCGTCCTGGTGCTTTGAGGAGTCGATGGCGCTGCCGGACTCATAGGGTCCTTGACTAGCCTGACAGTCGGGAGATGGATGCGTACGAAGAGGAGGTGATGTGAAGGTATCCCCGTTCGCTGAGCCGAGCCCCTCGCCGTTCTGCAAGGTAGAAGGGTTGGATTCCCAGTCAGAGTCGGACTCTGAGGCATCGACAACACTCGCGCGAGGCCGTTTGTTGGGACAAGTAGGGTGTTTCGGCGGGCTGCGGAGGGGTCCTGCCCTTGGATCACTGTCCACATGATTACGAAGATTGCCCCCGCCGACATCCCAGGCTCCAGGGATCCGCTCTTCCAGCCCCGCGGAGAGCGACCGCTACTTACAAGACGGGCAGGCGCACCGAACAAATGAGCAGCTGTGCGCTTGTATTAGAAAGAGGTCCACGCACCG